AAAGTGTCTGAGAGATAATGTGTTTGTTAATTCAATTAAAGCCTCCCAACCGGTATAGTGGTTAGCGTCGCTGAGTGCCGTGTCGAAGAGCCCGGGTTCGAATCCTGGAGAAGTTATGGATGTTTGTAAATGTATAGCGTCGGTGTGGCACTCTAAATATGCGGCGAGCTGAAAGTCCTCTCATGTGGCTTGGTGGAAGGGAAGAGGTGTGGGAGACCCTCGGACCCGTTCCCATCCCCCGAAATGCTCTCTGTCAAAATTGGGCGCGGAACTGAGCTAAAATCGCACTGTCACCTGAATGGTGCTCAAGGCTGTTGCCAACGGTAGGCGTAATCTAGCGCTGCTTGAGCTGACTACGTCAGACAAGTGAGCATAAGCTACAACAAACTTTAGTTGAACTTTAGAATCCGTTACTTATTTCCAAATTGCAATCTTTCAAATTTAAAATAGTTCCCAGTTTGCTGTCGCTTTTTTTAGTGTTCTTTTGTAAATGAGCTGTTTGTGCTGTCGTAATAATTTTCCCAGTTTTTTAATTGAAGACATAAATGGCTTTTAAACTTCAAAAGCATGCTGAGCAACAGTTGATATTATCAAATATCATGACCCAAACGTGCCTGGTCTTGTAGTAGTCCCAATCGTGAATGCGGACACACAGGTGCTATTCGAACTGATTTTTTATTATTTATGTGGTAATTTGATGTAAGAGCATGATATTTATTGTTGTATTATCCATTATTCAGAGTACAAGTCTTCCCCCTCCCCATTTTTTTTTAGCATTAGGATAGTGTCAGAATCCCTTTTTTTATATACACGAAAATGAGAGATGGTGTTATTAAGTGTACAATGCACTTGATTGTTACCTTATTTAATATTATTAATATTGTACTTAATGATGCATAATTAAACATTACTGTAATTATATATGGTACTTGAAATCGCATTATATACGGCCTTGAGTGCTATCTGCAGTTCTGAGTAATTGCTGTGATCATAGAATGTATCGTTGATAAGAGGCATCTTTCGTAATATTTGTATGAACTATAAAATTTATTAATGCTGCATAGGAAGGGAAGTTCTTCCCATAATAATGACTCAGCAAGTAACTTGAAAATATTTACTTGAGAAACACAACATAAACATTTACAAAAGAACATAAAATTACAGATGGCAGTAGATCGCATTCCCTTATGCAAGTGGTGTCTCCAGAATCACTCGTTCATTTTCTATTTATTTACCGTCAACAGCGCCATAGTCCCGGTCCTAAAATTAGAGAAAGGAGAGACAAGAGAGAAAGTCCCTGCAACCAGGCTAGCCTCGGAATGAGAGAAAAAAAAAAAACTATAGTTAGTTTTTTTTTTTAAATTATATTATTATTATTATTATTATTATATTATTGTTTCATTAGTAGATTTTGAGTTCTATCATTTATTTAATTCGTTATTTCTGGTGATTTGTTATGTATGTCTTATTAAGTCTTAATCATTTTTCGAAAATCATATTGGTTGGAAAATAAAGTTTGACAGTATTCCCTTGCTATAAAATTACATTTTTCAGAGTTAAGTTATTTGAAGCCTTGTTTTGTTTGTTGCATTTCTATGAGGTTTCGTTTCCTGCAGTTACTCATTTATTTGTCTCTTGGAGTCATTAATATTATGGCATTTGGATTTTTCTTGTTAGGTATTGAAAGATGATAATTTCATCCAAGTCCCTTCTCAGATTGACAAGAATAAAGAAAAAAGTAAAAGTGATGATGAAAATGATGTTCATAAAAATGATTCAGGCTTCAGAATTCCTGTGGATGTACCAGTAGATCAAAATAATATTTTGACTCCTTCACAACCATGGGATATGGTTCAAGATTCTTTATATTCACGATCAGCTCCTAATTTAACATCTCACCTCTCTGAATGGATGCAATCCAGCACTGATGAGAGTATGGATTTAGAAGTGCTCAAGAAGAAAGGGAAATCAGAAATGGATGTTAGTAGTTCTAGAAGTGGCATAGAATATTTTCCAAATGATGGAACTTGTGAACTTGGAAGTGACTTGAATGTTTCTGATGTATCTGTGGAGAGCATGCTATGGCTTGCTCACAGACTTGGGCCTGTCTTAACTGCCAGATATCTCACACGCAATTTATTACGTATGCTGACTTTATGTTATGATAGCTCTGAAAAAAGGGAAGTTGTTTATATTCCTCCTGGAAGTAAAGGTACAGTGCTTAATTCTTTCATTGTAAATTTTATATTTCTTTGTCTATATATGTTCTTTATTAATGAATAGTTAGTACTGCAAATTATGATAAACACATTTAAATCATAAGAAATTTTAATAAATGTATTAAAGTTGTTTTCTTTTATAGATGCTAAAATGTTGAGCATTAGTGGTAAATGGCTAAAAGGTGATATAAGTGCTTTCAAGGTTTTGGATTGTTTATCACGTATTGCATCATTGTACGGTGAACAGTTCATAATGCTGCAATATATAAAACATATTGCAGATCTGGTAAGATATCCCCCCCTCAAAATGTTTAGTTTTTTGTTTTTGATCTACTTCTATAACTAATTCCTTCCGTTTTGCTTTTGAAATATATGTCTTTCATTAGTAACGCATAATTTATTTCCATGGAAGTGTTAAATGTAGGAAGATAAATCTGTAAATCAGATAAGGAATCCAAATGGTTACTTCCTTAATTACTTATATATATATTTTTTAGAAAAAGTAGTTAAGAATCTTTTATTTTTAAATTTTTGTCTTTTTAACTTCAAATAAAAATGTGAATTTTGTTTAAGCTTAATTTATGTCGGAAGAAAGTTCCTGCTACACTTGAATCAGGTCTACATGGAGCCATGGCTCTCCTACAGCATATTGTCCCATACTTGTCTGATGTTACACTTATGGATCATTTGCAGGTAGCTTTCAGTTATATTCTAGCGTTCAGTTTCTAAGTGTGAAAACCCATATATTTAAAATTTTAAGTAAAGAAAAATGTCACTGTGTTTGTACAAAATTATGATTTTTTGTTCATGTTCTAATGTTTAAAAAATTATTCTTTACTGTATTTAACATATAGCTTCATGTAATAGTTTAAATTATACTAAAAATCAGTAGCCTGTTGTGGATTAATTATCAGTGTAATTAACTACTTGTATCCTTTATTCATCAATAAATTCAAAGCTGATTTTTTGTTATATAACAATATGCATATGTATGAAGAAAGTAAAGTAGATTTTATTCAAAATTCATTTATCACTAAATTTTTTTTAATAATCTTTCTGTTAGAATGGTCACTTACCAAGATTGTCATTGTTTCAAGTTTTGCTATATTTTCTTAATGACATATTGAATGTGTTGAATATCTTGTGCTTGATTCAGAAATATTTGTGTTTTATCCAGGATGTTATCATTAAAGACATACTGTACTTTGCATTGCGATTGATATCTTCCTTGAGATTGGTATATCCTGGTAGCGGAAAATCTCGCACAATGATAACATTTCGATTGTTGGATGTGATCTATACTATCGGTTTGAGAATTGGACTTGAAATGACTAGAAAACATCTGTCTGGTTTGCTTCAAAAGTTCTTTTCCTGTTTTGATAAAATTTATACTGAAGAATGTGAATTTAAAGATTTGAAGCACATTTTAAAACCTGGGGTAGCAAGTTAGTATATTTTCTTGATATGTAAGTATATTGTATTTAAAATATCAAATTTTTAATAAAAAATTAACAGAAGAAATTAAAGTGCAATTTATCCCAATTTTGTGAGTTTCATCTTTTATTATTTATTTGTTTATTTTTGTTGTGTAGTGTTAAGATAATTGTATAGCTTTATTTAAGATTTTTTATGCAAATTGCCATGTGCACATACACATATTTGTCTTCCTTTTCCATTTATATACAGTCAAAAGTTGTTAATCCGGACTCATCGGGACTTCGGCGATTCCGGATTGTAGATCATCAGTTTAAATCTGGTAAGATGGCATGCAGAAATTATAAAATTAAAAATATTAAACCGTAATTTATGAAATAAAGAACAATTATGATCTAAAAGGTATCAAAATTTACAAAAAAAAAAAAAAAAAGCTTAATATTTATTTATTTACTTTATTAAACATTTCTTTCAGTGTAAGTTGTTTAAGTTGCTTCGTTTTATGTGATAATACTTTCTCTTTACTTTATCGGAAGCGAATTATAATGATGAGGAATTTGATTTAAATCATATCAAAGACGGAGTACATCGAGATGAAATACTACATTTAGTAAGGAATTATAAGCCAAATAAAATAAAAACATCTACCCTGAAGATAAGGATAGTGCTGACAGATTACCTTTCAATTCATTGCGCGCCGCGGCGTTTCGGCGTTTCCCCCCCCCGGGCCGCAGAGCAGCGTGAAATTGATAAACAGATTTCGGAATGGTTTGAGAAACGAAGGATATGCCTTTATCCATTTTTTGCAGCAATTCCACTTATGTTTAATGGACTTCTAAACATACTTTCGCTTTGTAGATCCTTTACATATTCGGAAATTCTATTTGACATAATCGAAAGTTCAAGCTTACTTTTACAAAATTGCTCTAGCAGTCTGCAAAAAATAATAAGCCGGATCCAATTCGAAGACTAAGGAACAACGCAATCTGCAACATTAACTGAATTAGATAATTTTTAGCTTAGCTTATACCGTCCGTTATACATTAAACGCGCAAGCGTAAACGTATTACGCGCATGCGCACACGCAAATTCGCAGCCATAAAAGTCTTACGCGCATGCGTCAAGTGGACGCATGCGCAGAAAGTTTGTAGCTTTGAGGTCCGGATTATAGATCATTCCGGATTATGGGTGTCCGAATTAACGACTTTTGACTGTATATAAAAATATTGGTGTTGGTTAATGGCTATTCTTGATTCATCCAAGCTTGAGATTTTTAATTTTAGAGGTGATAGGTTTACCTTTCATGTCAGTTCATATTTTAAAACGAAACCTATGTCAAGACTGAAGTTACCATATGAGTAAAGAAAAGAATCTTAGAGTCGGTGTTTTGTGAAAAACCATGTTGGAAAACGCTAGCCCAAAAAAATTTGTGAGTGATATGTTTCACTCGAGAATTTAAATTATGAGAATACTGCTGTTTCATTTCTAGAATGTGCGATTGTGACATGGTGGTTGTTAACCCCCATTTTTTTTTAAGTATTCTTTTCGTAAAATTCATTTTGTCTGCAAAAGGATCAAGCAGTTCTAAGAAACAATGGCAGAAAACGTTTTGTAAATTTCTTTGGTAAACATCATTGCATTTGGATGCTGTTTACCTGTCAGCTAAAATTTGTTAACTAACTTTATTTTAAAATATGTTGAATTTGGTTACTAGACAGTCTACTATTTACATACTAGATTTTGAATGCTGTTAAAAAACTCTAAAATATTTAATAGATATATAATAGCGCCCTGCATCAATCCTGCCCATGCTTCATCCATAAAAAATTATGCTAACAGTAAAGCTAGAAAGGTAGTATTTTGGAATGGTGGAATTAATTTACTTCAAAAATAAACATAGTATTTTAATTTATTTGTACTATATGTCACATTGACATTTTGTAACATTTTTTGCTTGTATTGAAATGAGCGGGAAAAGCTCTACTTTCGCTACTTCTAAAGGATTAAATGTAAAATCCAAGACCGACGCTAGAGCCAGTGCAACTGGCAATACTTAGGGACATTAAAAAATTGTATGCGCGTCATATGGGCAAAATCCAGGAGAGGCAGAGATTGCACTGGGCATGCAGCAGAGAGACTAGTGCCAGCTGTAGGGCAAAACTGATACATATGCTCACATTTTTGTGTCACTTGGGCCTTTCAAATTTATTTGAAAATATCAGTTATTAAATATTAGCAAAATATCTTGTCACTTGGGCCTTTCAAATTTATTTGAAAATACCAGTCTTTATTTTTCTTTTGCTTATACCATTGATCATTTTTTATTTTCAAAAATGGTTACTCAAAATATTTTGAGGAAAAAAAATAGTTTATTCAAAAAGTAGTGAAATTGGATTCCTGTAAGTATTCAGATACTCTGAGAAAATAGCTTATATTTGATAAAAACATGAAAATTACGGGGCATTCAGTATTTTGTTGTATATTCTTTAGCTAAAATTATGTTTTTCATTCGCTCCAACATGCATTTAAATTATTTTAAATTATTTTTTTCATATAAGAATGTTCCATTTTATTCCATTCCTGTGCAATAATTGCTTTTAATAGGTTTTTGAAGAAATGTCAGGTTTTCTTATTCATTTCTGTAACTCGTTCCATATATGTTCCCTTGGTTTTTAGTATATAAGTATTCAAGTTTTAAGTCCTTGGTTAAGAATATGGAGAGCAACTTCAGAGCGGTTGTCTAATAAACACAAGTGAACACATATTCATTATCTGGCCAGTCCCATTTTTTTTATCATGCAACTGGCTTCTGCTGGCTAGGAGGATCAGGACTGTGCCCTTATAATGATAATGATTTAGGTTCATTATCCTGACAGAACTTGAATATTTATATATTCATTTACAATATCTTTTATAAATAATAAATTTATCATCCTTCCATTTGAAGCATTCCCAAACTAATATGCCTCACCTTCATGCTTAATATTAGGCAGTAGATTTTTCGATTCAGTGATTCATTCGGCTTTTTTGCCACACAGCAATTCAACAACAGGGCTCAAATATATTAAATTTCTATTTATCTGTAAGTATAATATTATTTTGGCATGATAAATCGGTGCTTATCTTGGATTTTTGCAAATGCCGGCCATATTTTTGTTTTCTTGTTGACAAAGAATTTACTTCTTTCTGATTGCACATTGTAGTCATATGCCATAATGACCCTTCTGATAGTTTCAAGATTAACTTTTATTGCAAACCGTTCTTCTAAATCTGCTGCAAGTTTTTAGCACTAATATTTGGATTTTATTTAATTTTCATAGGGTAAATCTCTTATTCCTTCGTCTTAGCTTGGAAGATAATCCAGACCTCAGTGCATTTTAAACCATTCCACGCAGTTTCTTTAATACATCGAAAATAGTTGAATGCTTTAAATTGAGGATATTTTGAATGCATTAACCATTTTTAAAATGGCAAAAATAGTAAATATATAACAGAACTTTAATTTGTAGCCTCTTGGCCGTCTTCAATTCAGATATGTAAGTGTTTAATATTGCAGCATGTGTACGTGTTCCTAATAGATTGAATGCACACGGAACCATAATAGCTTGAAAATTTTTTTTCCGAAAGAAACTTTATGGTTCTGTAACTTTCTACAAAAGTACATTATGACAGAGTACGATCAGTAGTTACCACTTCAAATTACTAAGAACATTAAACACAACGCAATGTAAAGCGGATCTGAAGAGCGAAGCTCGCCATAACCCCAGGTCAACTCTGAACTAAAAACTGAAAACTGATGTTCTCTCTGAACTTACATGGTTTTTACCCGGCCGCCGAGAAATCTCTAGTACCTTCCATTTCTTGAAATCCCTTGAAGGCGTATACGATTAAAGACGGGCAGCTAAAACCCACCGGGAACTCGGGAAATTCAACCAATCAGAGAGTACCATTGTGCCAGGAACTTTTGGCATCATTTTTGTGCAAAACTGGTATACAAGAGAGCAATAGAATATGCATAGATATGCATAGATGTTCTTTGGTTAATGTTATGGTAACTTGTTCATACTTCTTGGGTTCGCACTTCTTGGTAGTTCATTTGTTTTGTTTATTTTGTGGTATGCTGATATGATTTAATATTTAATTTACTGTAGGCACGATAAGTGAAGTATGTAAATCTCAATTTTGAAAACAGATACAACTTTATATTCTACTTAATTTGCTATCTCGATACTGAATAACTTTTTGATACACTTTTAAATAAAGGGTAAAAATAATAGTTGATAAAAATTACTGTATTGTGAAATGTTTGGGCTCTTTGTATATTTGAAAATGCTTGGTGATATCTTGATTCTTATTATTTGATGTACTGTAAACATTGTAAAATTCAATAAAGAAAAATATTTTAAGAATACGTCTTTTTTTATTTAAACTACTTTTAAAACCTTTAGAAATCTCTCTTTTGTGCATTTTTTTTTTTTTTGTAGGCAAAACAGTACTAACAAAAGCTCCTACTGAAATATAGAAAATACAATGATTATTCAGAGAATCTATATATTAAAATGCTGATGTGGGATAACTCATAGAATAACCCAGTAACTCCCAAAAAGAAAAAATAATTGAGAAATTAACATGAAACTTGTTTATGCATTATTCTCCATCTAAATAATTGTATTTCATTTCATTGTGTTATGTAAAAATAAATATGTAATTTTTAAAGCCTTGCAACACTAGCATAATCAAAAATTTTTTATTTATGACGAATCTGTGGAGTATTTTACATTCTATATTTCACTATATGTGTTGCTATAAACATTATTTTCTCTTATTGTCAAGACTTTTCTGAATAATCTGCTGTAATTTATCACCTTAACTAGTCTCCATAGTTTGTAATTATATGTTAGGAAATCACACAGTCTTTAATCTGCAATTTTAATTTCATTTGCTTATGATTTCAGATGTCATGTATTAATCCCTAGCAGAAATTCTGTATAAGTTTTCTTGAAATCCTATGCATTTTCTTTATCTTTTTAAATAAAATATTCCAACAACAGCTACCACCATTGGATGCCTCTAATTTTTATTTTGAAAGGAGCAACAAATTGTATACTGCAGCCTACATGTCTGCTGCCCATGTTCCTATAATTTGCTATAATTTCTGATTGGAATTGTGGTGAGTTTTCATAAGTCTGCATTTTTGAAGTAGAAATGTAAATATGAAAAACTAAATTTGTAGTATTTTGATAAATAAATTTTTTGTAGTCTTAAGCCAGAGCACGCATAAAAATATTTCAGTTGATAAGAGATTGCACAAGTTTTTTTTAGTTCTGCCGGAATGTAATGTCGCTTTCTTACATTAAATTCACACGAATAAATTTTAACACGTTTTTATTTTTAATCAATAATGTAATCACTCTCGTTATCAACAACCTTTTGCCATCTAGTGTGCAGATTTTCAATCCCCGGACCGATATAAATCAATTGGTTTTTGAGTAAAATAATCTCAAGATGGCATTTTGGACATCATTCAACATTTTCAAATTTTTTGCCACTAAGGAAATGTTGTAGGGATCGGAATAAATGGAAATCCGAGTGTATGATATCGGCGAGTATGGTGGATTGATGCTGCACCTCCCTATCCCAATTCATTAAATTTTTTCCAGTGTCCGTCTTGCACTGTGCGGTCTTGCATTGTCGTGTTGCAAAATGATGCCTTTTCTATTGACAATCGCCAGATATTTTTTGATTAAAGATTGGTTCACTCGATCCAATTGTTCACAATAAAAATCTGCATTAACATTTTGTCCAGGTTTCAGCAATTCAGAATGAACAATTCCACGAATACTCCACCAAACACACAGAAGCGTCTTTTTGGGATGTAAACCCTTTGTAACCTCTATTAAAACTGCCTTTTGCGTTTTGGATTATCATATAGGACCCATTTTTCATCTCCAGTAATCAAATGATCCAAAAACGGTTTTGTATGGTGCCCTTGAAGCAATACATTGCATGTGATGGATTGGTTGGCTTTGTTCTCTTTGGACGGATTATGGGGGACCCAAACACCTGCTTTGCTTATTTTTCCATTCTGCTTTAAATGTTCTTGGATGGTCGACCAAGGTTGTTTAAGAGTGTTTGACATGGATTTGCTTCCACTTCTGCCCTTAGCATGTTGTTGTCGACATGCGCAGAAACGACATTACTTTCCGGTCCCCCTATTATATATTTAAAAGAATATGACTTCTGGTCATGTGACACATGAGAAATATCCCATGCAGCTAGCTTGTCCACCAGCGTTCAAACTATCACTGCTCCTTATTCTTATCCACTCGATTGCTGATGAATAATAATTATGGAAGATAATAATAATTTTTCTTAGTGTGAAAATTTTATGACCATTTTATAGAAAGTTTCTCATTCTAATCTGCTCCAGAATCTTCAGATGAAGTTATCATTACATGATGTATCAACGTTTTTTTCTTCATAATGAAACTGATTTGAAAACTGCATTTTTTTTTTTCATTTGGAGTAATTGTAGCAGAATAACTGCACACAGAGGACTCTGTTTATAATTGTTATTCTCCAAGCAGATTTAATAAATTAACATCATGTAGTTTATTATATCATTGTTGTATAAGAGTCAAAAGTGGCTTTAAGACAAATGGATGGTATCTGAGTATAAGTGTGCATTTAATTACATAAGTTAACATTCATTTACTGTTTTACAATGGTTTACACTAATGTTATGTTTTCCCAATATCTAACATGTTAATCAACAAATCTATTTTGCTTGGTTTAAGGTTGGTTCCTAAGGACCAATGCTATATTTAATGTGTTAAGAAATTACTGATTGGTAAAAACGACTTATTTGTATATAGAAAACAAAGAAATGAAATTTTCAAATTCAGGTTATATTTTGTGATTATGCATATGATCCATGTGCAAAAAATATTTTAAAATATAGTATTTGAAACTTAAAATCTACAGAATTGAAGAATTTATAAAAAATATATGCAACATAATCTGATGTTTTGGGCAATACATATTAAATTGTAATTTATCAACCTAAATAAAATTTTGATTAAAATATCTGGTGGTGAACTATTAAAATATTAACAAAAAGCACATACTTTATTTTATAAAACCAAAATACCAAATTATAATTAAATGTTTTAATTTTTACAAAAACAGAAAACAAATAACTGTGCATGAAAAAAAAAATGAAATAATTAATATCATGGAAATTACATAAAAGAGCAAATAAATTTTGTGATATGCACAATTTGTGCCAGAATTTGCCACTCACTATTTTCTTCTCTCACCTCAGTTGATCATTTGGAAGGTTTTAAGAACCAGCAGAGATTTTTCAAAAAGTTTTTACATTCTGCTAAATGTTTCCCTATTTAACATTGTCTTTACATCTAAAATTTATTGTAAGTAAAAGAAGATATATTGTGGAAATACTTCATCGAGCTTAAAGCCTGTTTAGCTTCACTTCTGTTAATACCAATAGTCTCCATAATAATTATACCTTCCTTTACTCTAAATATGTTTTATTTAATTTTGTTACTATTATGTTATTTATTGTTTTAGTTGCTATTATTTTTATTTATTTTTGTTCAGTACTCCTGATGGCCTTACGGTGATGAGAATTCCAGTGATTCTAATTTTAGAAATTAACATCTAGTAAATGTATTAATATGAAAACATGTAATTCTTTTTTTACGAAATCCTGTAATTTTTGTCAAATTACGCAAAACGGCCTTGCCGAAATGCGGTTCTTTCAGAAAGAGAAATTTTTGTGAATAGCTTTGTCAGAACTCATTTTGTTGAAAACGCTTAGATGGATTAAAAATCAAAATAGGGAAACAAAGTTACCTGTCTCTGAAGAACACTTCTCAACACCCTGACCTTGGTACTAAGTTTTGTTATTATTAATTTACACATCCACTGTTATTTAATTATTAATTTGATTTTAGTGAGATACATTTTTGAGTTTACTTTATTTATTTCATATGATTTTGTATACATATAAATTATCAAAATAATTTTTATATCCTTTACTCAATTCCAATAGTTAAAAAAAAAAAGGCTAATTTATTTGCGGGGTGGGTCAGAAAAGTAACAGCATTATCTGGTTTTAAAATTAACATAAATTTATGTGTGGAAAGGTTTTCTAATCCTTATTTAAAATTTATATGACTATATATCTTAAGTAAGACTTGCTGTCATGCCAGGTACTGTAGCTTCAGTAGTATTTATGTGTTAATATGCATTTCATTTCATATGCTGAATAAATCAAACAAAATATTAAAGTCTTTTAAGATTTGTTGCTTAGAATTATATGTAATTTAGACTGAAATTGTCTAGAAAAACTGAATCATAGCTTGACAATCATTTGAAAGGAAAGAAAATTGTTGTAAAGTAGGTATAAGGCTTAAAGGAAAAGGAAATATGGTTTAATGCTCATCTTATGTTTGTTTGCATTTTTCCTTTTAATTTTTGATCATTATATTAATAAATTTTTTGGCACAATTTGATCATCTTTATCTTTTTACTTTAAATGAAGGAGAGTAACTTTTAATTCATATTTGTATATTTCCAGCCAACTGCCCACTGAAGGAACAAGCCTTGGAAGAAATGAGACAAACATTTTCACCTGAAATGGCTTTCCTTGCATATATACCATTTTCCAAATTGGCTGGAGGGTATGACATATTTTATTTCCTGTAGTTTTTCTTAATTGTTGTCTAGTTTATTAAGATTTAAAGGTAAGACTCTTTTTAATTGTTTATATAACTCCTCATATGATGTAGCATCCTTCACATTTCATTTAATAAATAAACTGGTTGAATTTTTAACTTATTTTTCATTTAGTAATATTAATGTGTATATATACTAGATATTTATCTGTTCATTAGAATACACATGGAAAAGACTCTGAAAAATGATGACCTTATCCGTAATTTGTGTTTGCTGCATGATAAAAATATGGCAAGTTCCAATTCAAAATATAATTTTTCTGATGAAAAAGTTTCATCTGTCTCATCTATAATGACCCATCACAGAGATCATTCCTTGGGTAAGTAATACTGAAACGTTTTTAATTCAATTGTTCTTCATATTTCTTTAGGCTATTTTTTATATGCATAAAACTTTACATATATGTGTAACTCTAAAAATTAGTTATTATTCAATGTTTGTCATGCTTTTTTCAGTTTTATAAAACTTGCTAGAAACCCAGTTTTGAGGGTGTGTAATGCTATGTAGTTTTCCAATAAAATGAGTCTAAAATTTGCTGTTCTTGAAATTGTTATCTGAATGAAGAATTCCAACAGTTATCAGTTCTGTCTTTATACAGCAACTGATATACACAGAATATTTACATTAGGTTGAAGTCATTGTTGCAAAGCCTCAAGGGCTATCTTCCTAAGAGGAGAGTTGCTTTTCTGGTAGATTTTGTAAAGGAAACTGGCTTGTATGCACATTATATTTAGGGAAAACCACGAAAACGCCCATGTAGCCAGCCCATTCGCTCGATTCAAACCTTGAACTGAACTATCAGTATTCAGTGACTTTACCGCTCAGCCAATGGTGGGCCCAGAATATTTATAATAGATGATTATATGCTGTATTTCCTTAAATAATGATATTAACATGTAATTTGAGTTATAAATCTTCTTAAATAATGTAGAGACTTTAATAAAAATCAATTTTAACAGTGGAGGTAAACAGATTTCATAAACAGAAAATTGAACTTTTTTATATCTGCATGGTCCAGTTGCATAGACGAAAAGTTCTGTATTTTATCATTAGATCTATGAAGACCATATATTTTACATGTGAAAAATTCATGAAGATAATTCACCAAATGAATTTGTTGACTTAGATCACTTTTCAAGACGTATCAAATTTGAATATTTTTTGTTTAGATTACGGGGAAACTGCAAATATTGCTCAATTTGGTGATTAATGGTTTTGCATTGGATAAAACAACACTCATCATTAACTTTGCAGATGATTTCATGAAACAATTAATTTCAAATATGTATGCTGATTTTGCACCTAATATATATGTACAATATATGTATGTATAATATATGTAATTTTGTTCTTAATGTATGCAGAGTTAGGAAAATTTTATTAACTGCACTCTCTGCTATGCAAAGACCATTTAAAAAGCAAAGTTTGAATTTGCAAGATCATTCTAGTTAAATTTTACTCCTAGTAACTCATTCCATAAAACGCACTACCTTAAATTTTTAATTGGAAGTTTCTGTCTAGGAACACTATTAATCGAATATCTTATATAGTAATTTTTGTGCAAAAAACTTTTAGTTATTCCCATTCCATTCAAAATTAATTGTAGAAGGTTTGTCCATCTTACAAAGTTAATGGCGAGTACCGTTTTACCCAATACAGAAGTACTAGTTGTTTAAATAAATAATTAATGTTTTGTGTTTGCTCCCTGATTAAATACTGTCAAATTTTGATCAACATTAAAAGTAATCAAAATCGATATGGAATATCTACGCGAATTTTGCTTATATTGGTTCAGGACTTCTTTCTGTTTAACTTATTAAATCATAATGAATATTACTGATTGGACCTTTAGATTATGAGAATTGTAGAAAAAGTTAGTTTTTGTATTTACAAAGGCATTCTGCCTCCAGTACTGAAACAATTTTCGTAACGTTTTCTGCCTCATTTAAAAATAATTCATATCGTAAATATCTCTAGGATCATTATCTAATGAAGTAACGCCTGTAGGTATCTTTTTCAAACACCTTGTATTTTGATTTGCAGTTCTGCATGGTTGCTAAATATTAAGCGGCAGCGAAGATATAAGCGCAAACAAAATTAAATGTGTTTAATGAAAGAGGATGAAATACTCAGTACTGCAGGTGTCATGAAAGGTGTCAACATGTTGCAATTAGAAAGGAAAGGAACCACTAGTAAATAAATAACAGACACTAACGTTACTATGCCTGGATAAATTTGAGTGGTCTTGTTAATATGCTATATGATCTTTTTGACTGTATCATATACAGATCTGATTATTATGTATCATTTTCTTGTCATATAAGCTAGTTTTCTGTTTGCTGCTTAACATCTGCAATCATGGGTAAAATTTGAAGTCTTAACGTCGTTTAGCGATATTTTTAGTGTCAATTTAGCTGTAGCTTCAAGAAGGAAACACTGAAATCTTCTTTTGCAGCTTCCAACATTTAGAGTGGAAGGGTATTTTTTATATTGAAGTTAATGTAAATTTGTTAAATTTTCTACCAAGTACAATGATATTGAACGTGCTTCTGTGAACACTTCTGAAAATGCTTGTAAATTTGTTGGTGTTTGCATTTCTCCCTACCACCACTTAAGTTTGTTTTGAGGGGCGGGAGAGTGATAAGAATTGTATGCCCAAAATTTTGAAACCGTGTAAAGGCTTTTTCAGCCCTGTTTCATTTAACAACCAATGGGATAACAAACCAAAACAGTCATTTGCACATGAGAAAGCGTTGACAAACAAGCTGGTTAAGGAATTAGATGGTTTGTTTTGCACCCATTAAGTCTTTTTAAGTTAACGCAAAATGTCAAACATAAGTCTGGCGGAAGAGGCTGAAAGAGAGCAGTAAGCTTAAGAAATGCTATTATATTTCGTTGCAGACATGATTACACTTTATTTCCATTTAGGAATTAATTTTTATTTATTCTGATTTATAATTTGTTTTTGTATATTTTTCCACGTTTTGGCTTTAATTATAAACTGATGTAAGTCTAAATTGCTGTGAAAGAAGGCATTTTATGCAAATGTTTTTATCTGATTTCAAGGTTTTATTATTTAGCAATATTTGCAGTATGTTTACATTGAAGAGAAGAAGAGAAAGAATAATTAGGAAGCTTTTTGTTCATTACAGTTTAGTGTGTGCGCCACAAGTAGTCTAAATCACATGATGTTGATGTTCAACCTTCGTCCATATGTTGTGGATCATGTTATGGTTATCTTTAGCATACAGTTTCTCTGGTCTGTTTTTCATAACTGGTAGAAGGGGACATATGTAAATTTGTATAATTATGTGATGTATTTTACTATAAAATATAGCATTAACATAGTTTTAGCATTGTTGCACTAATATAATTATAAAAATAAGTTTTGTCCTTTTTTATTAGGGCAAGAAGATTCTTTTGTCAGTGGTATTTTTGGAAAAAATGTAAATGTTGTAGGAAACAGACTTGATGTGCATTTAGGTGAAGAAAGCCATCTAGTGACAGCAATGGGTGAACCGGTTCCAACAGTGGATTCAGGCAACTCATTTAAGTTACCAGATATACCAAAATATGATATTAGTTTGATTAAACGGTTAGTATTTGACATATTTTGAAATGTATTTTAAATTTTAGACTATCATGAGGTAATTATTTGAGAATTCTGTTTGAAAATTAGTTGAAATGTTAGAAACAAATTGGCAATGTCTGCACTTTTGTAAACTTTCTGTAATAAATTATGGCATTAAGTAATATGATTTTTTTCTTTCACAATAAATTTAGAAACATTTTTGCAAATATAAACTTAAAACTGAAGTTGGAAGTACTTAATCTTTCTGTTTAATGCATGTTAAATGTTGTGTAGTAGAATATAGAGATCAAAATATACTCTCTTCAACATACATCTTTCAAAATATGAGTAATATTTTACTGATTCTGGAACATTTTTTACTGGTCTGTGTTCTGAAACCTCTACTTGTGTGGAATAATAATATGTCTATGATTTTGTCCAAGTACTCTAGAGATAATATAATCATGAAGAAGTTAATCATTTATTTGTTATCATCCTGAATTATACTGCAAATATAATTGCTATTATAAATTTATGACTATGTAAATTTTGTCATAATTACATTTGACTGAATTGATCCTGATGAATTAGAATCAAGAATCCAAGTAATTTTATTTTGATGCACTCCCTCTTTTGTGCCTATGTTTCCTTGAAACTGTGCTGTAAACAAAATTGCAGTTTCTTCTTCTCCCTACTTGAGTGACGTAATGTGCTTTAAATATATTATTGTCATTTTTTTAATTTTATGGGTCTTAAAAAATATATTTGTTAGAAATCATATTAGAATTAAGAAGGTTGGACAAAATTATTGAAATACCTCGTAAAATGTATGTTTGAACTGAAATTTTTATCCTTGCAAAAGCTATTGATGGCGCTGTTATGTTTGCACACTAACGCCACCTGTACGACATCCACAATACTTTGAAAGTGTCATTCGTTATCGAGGCAGTGCTCTGTGCAATTGGGAGTGCATCATGTCGGAGCTGAGCGAATTTGAACATGGGCAAATTGTTGGGGATCGTATGGTGGGGACTTCCATAACCAACGTAGCTAAAATGTTTGGTGTTTCAAGAGGCACAGTTTCTAAGATTTTTAATCCATACCTGGAAACCGGAATAACCGCATCCGCTCAATCACAGCACGGGTGAAAATGTGCTTTGCTTGATCATGAAAGATGATCATTGAAGAGGATTTTGATGAAAAATAAGAGGACTACAGCCACAAAAGTGACTGCTGAACTGAATGTTGCACTTGCAAGTCGTGTTAGTACCAAAACAATACGAAGGGAGCTCCAGAAGCAGGGTGTGATTGTGTGAACTGCAAATCAAAAGCCACTCGTCAGGGATATGAATGCCTGTAAGAGGAGAAAGTGGTGCCAGAGTCATAAAACCTGGATTGTAGAGCAATGGAAAACTGTCATTTGGTTGGATAAGTCTTATGTCACACTGTTTCGGACTTCTGGGCGAGTTTACATCTGGCGAACGCTATCCCAAGCATATGATAGAGATTGCCACAGAGAGTGCAACATGGCGGGAGTTCGGTCATACTAGTTTGAACAGATTATTACTGTACAAGGTCACATTACTGCCAAGGATTATGTCACCACTTTGGCTGATCACGTCCATTCCGTGGTATAAATTTTATTCCCCAATGGTGATGCCACAGTCTAAGATGACACACAGCTCCTGTTCACTCATCTCACATCTACCATGGCCACCACAGTCACCAAATATCAATATTATTGAACCTTTATGGTCTATTTTGGAGAGAAATCTGCATAAGCGCTAACCGTCGCCAGCATTGTTAACTGAATTTGCCAACATTTTACTAGAAGATTGGTGCAGGATTCCCTTACAAAGCATACAAGACCTCTGTTTATCCATTCCGAGAAGACTGCAAGCTGTTTTGAATGTTTTAATTTTGGTGTTTCAATATTTTTGTCCACCCCTTGTATTTTTATGGCTGAAGAACAAATCATCAATGCAAAGTATAAAATTTTTTTATGACGTTGTAAAGACCTTTATTTATTCTAACCAATTATTTTTAGTTGTGAAACTTTCCTTTCTCTTCTGATTTCAGTTTCCTGCTAGAATGTAAATTTTAATGACGTAGTATGCAAATCTAATTCAGTTCAGAATCAGTATTTAAGCAGTGGTGTTAAGAGTAGTTGTGAATTGATGCCGCATGTTTGAAGTAGCTTCGTACATGAATAGTTGGTGCAAAGCCACTCTCTTTAGATCATATTGATATTCTAGTTTCGGCTTTGCTGTGTGCAGCCGATTTAGCAGTTTACATAATTAAGGAGCCAGTTGTGTAACACATTTTACTTATTGTGATTTTACATTTTTATTTTTCTGTTCGAGTTCCTTAATCACGAGTGGTGGTAATTGTAAGCACCGTGTGAGTGCAATCCTTGTTTAGTTCAAATAGAAAGGTTATTTAAATCTTCTTTTGAAACTATCTATTCTTCAAAGACATAGCGAGATTTTGCTACTCAGTCTTTTTAGTAGAGTTTATCTTTGGACGATCTCCGAAAAGAAGAAGGAGACTCTACAACGCCATCGAATAATATTATTATCCCTTGTTCTTCTTCATATACAGTAACCGCAATAATATATACTTCTCACAGCTTTTACTGATGGCTTCATATGCCGATTGTCTCTTAAGCACGTTTGATATGGTTGGCCAGCAATTTTAATTATTTACATATCTTATACGTGCAAATTTACCGTGCAATTTGCATAACACCACTATTGCATTTTCATAATGTAACTTTCTCCTTGTCAAGCAGTAGGTATTGCATTCCCTGACTTAATGTTTGTAGAAATTTAACAGATGTCAGAACCTTTCTAAGTTCAGCAGTACCTTAATCACCTGTGAAATTTAACAGATGTCAGAACCTTGCTAAGTTTAGCAGCACTTTAATCACCTGTGGATATACAGATGTGGTGGCCTAGCTTCTACCTGTACCTGATATTGCAAAGTGCATTAACATTGACGTAATCATTATGACAACATATGTATGCATATCCTGAAGAGAATTACCAGTTTTTGAAAAAAAAAATACATTCTGTGAGTGTGAAATTATGCATTAATTAATAAGGTACTCTATTGTTAGCTTTAGTTAGAAATCTGTACAGCCTTCTTGTAAAACAAATTCAATATGACATGTTTAGATCAATTATGAATAGAAAATACTCCCTACTTGGTTCTTGATTCTTCTGAGCTTCTCTAAAATAATAATTGATCCAATGTTACCACATTAATCCTATATTTGATGAAGGATATTGGAGACATTATGGTTATTGCATAACAGTACACATCTCAGAAAATCAAAGACTATGAAGCAAAACAGTTCTCACATGCCAGTGTGCTATCTAGTGTTCAGTACATGGCATCTTCTAAGGCTGAATGTTCACCAAGAGACAAAAAGTCCATAAGTGCTGGTGTAAGTCCTAAATTACATAGCAGTTGCATGGGTTTCCTAATGGGAACTCCATTTGGTAGTCTTGAGTCTATGCACAGATGCAGCCATCATGATTCATCCACAATGCAGGTGTTTCGCAATCCCATTAGACATAAAAGTCTGGGTGATCTATCATCACTTATCAAATCACTTATCGCTACCCCTTCAACTGTTAATGGAATAATTTGATGAGTAATTTACATCACTCATGTCATATATCTTTAGTTTGTTTATTTCTTTCGCCAGTGTGCTTTTCGTAACTGGTCCTTGCTCACAAATGTAATGACTGTATTTTCATTGATAGTTTATGTCCTGTATGGGATTGTGGAAAAATCTGGAAGCATGAGATCTTTTCATGCAATTAAAGTAACATCCAATACATAGCAAGACTTTCCATTTACTTTTATAAATCATGTTCATCGTTAGAACGAAATATACGCACATTTTTAGTTGTGGTATTTAGAAGAGCTGCAAGTCATTTTTTTTTTTTTTAATTTCTTGCCATATCATTTTGAAACACTTCCCGATTCTGTGACATTTTGTATGAAAAAATATTGCTAAGCTTCTTGAACCTATCCTATCAGCCAGATCAGAAAGGTATTTCTTAGATTTATTGGCCTTTTATTTGTATATCTTTAATCCAGAACTTTAATCTTCTAATATTTGGACAGCCGACTGCAGCTTCCTTGAATGGTTAGCCGTTTCACAATACTTCTTCAACATCTTTACTCAGAGCTTTTCTCAACTTCTTCCTCGTATCCAAATTTTTTTCTGTGAGCAGAGAATAATTTCAATTTTTGATACCACCTATAGATTTGAAGAAATATAATTCCCTGCAATATTTATTAATATGGCTACATCCATTGTGCATTTTGCGAAAAATGCTACATGTGTACTATGTAGAAGGCTTTGTGTGTACCACTTGCTTTACAGATGAATTTTTGGTACACATAATTTTCACCAAAACAGAGTGAAGAGAGTTAGTTCAAAGAGTATGTGAAGTTTCACCTATCTAGAAAAGTTGAAAAAAAGGTCATTTCATCACTAATGTGTCCTATCCACTGTTCATTGAGAATGCATTTATTTCCTTAAGATGTTTGCAAAGCATTTATAAAAAAAAATTTCCTAAATCTTTCAAAAATAAAAAATGTTGGATTCAGAAGACTAAACCTGAATAGGATTTCACATTCCGAAAACAGACCGATAATTATAGAAAAAATTTTATCCCTAAACAACAAATCACTTGTATAGCCCCAAGATTATAAAAATCTGTTGTGCCCACCAGTGGCCGAGCGGTAAAGACTGTAAACACTGGTAGTTTGGGCCGAGGGTTCGAATCCCGCGAATGGGCTGGCTTCATGGGTGTTTTCGTGGTTTTCTCCATGTGTAACGTGTATACGAGTCAGTTTCCCTTAGAAAGTCCTCCATGAAGGCATCCCTCCCCTTAGGCAGATAGCCCTTGTGTGCTTTGCCATAATTAAATACATCTACATCTAATAAAAATCTGTTCACTGCCTCAACTTTCCCCCTTCCCAATTTCGATATGAGCCTTGACTAGAGCTCTGTCTGACAATTTATCAAAGAATTAGAATGGAATTAGAAAAACGATTTAGATTCTTTAGCTCAATAATCACTTGCACCATATAGTGTCCTAATATTTGCTTGTTACATATCCTGGTTCTCCAAGCATTAGATGCTACATCTGCTTAGCATTGCCTTTATTTAAAGCCTAGAGAAAGATGGAGGTGAAGCTGAAAGAATGGTAATATAAAGATTTCCCATTGTCTTTGCATTGAAGGAATGTGTTTGCATACATTCAGAGGTTTGCTATAGCCATGTAAAATAACATAAAGTATATAGGACATTGAAACAGGGTCCAAATGCTCATTTGCTTTAACCTGGGGTTCATTTGAACCAGGTTTGCAGTAGTAGGGTTTGACTGTGATACTAATAAAGCTAGCACTCTTGATGGTGAGATTCAAACTGAAGCTGAATTTATCATGCTAGGACTTCATCATAAGGCTATTGAAGAACTCCTATGGGTAAGAAAATAATTAAATAATGCAAATACTGATGAAAACTTTAGCCTTGTGTGTTCTTAATTATGTAAGAGGGGTGCATGATGGCACATTATATACATATTTTGCTTTAAGGTTCTGTATCATCATTTTCAAATTAAAATAATATGGGGCTCTAGATAAGGTTATGCAAAGCTTCTTTCTTTGAGGAAAAAATTATTATTAGGAATTACTGGGTGACTTTATGGGCCCTAAAATCTGATGCCCTTTGTGATCATATGCCTGTAATTAAGAATTTTATTTGTTTATTATTATTCACAGTTTCAAAAACTCAAGAGTCCATGTTTGCTGAAATGTGTGTTGTACACTCTGTTTATGAATGTGTTTGGTTCTTGAGAACAAACAGTATGATTCATTAACAATTTTTATTCTGCTTTTTATATTACAGCAAAATGGGTGACTGTCAAAGGCACTTGAAAGGCAACTGGCTGGCATACTGGGAACATGAAACTGGGAGAAGTGAAAAGGATTACCATTTTGATTTCAAGCAAATCAAGCTACAGACATTCATTGGTAAAATTGTCAAACACTTTTATTGCCAACAAATTTACAAGAAGCTTATTCAAAATAATTTCTAGTTATGTAATTTTATTAATTATTTGTATTTTAATTATTAAAAGTTTTTATGAAAATAATTATTAAATATGAAAATATTAACATGATATGTATTTGTTTATGTCTTATTTTTACATGTTGTACTGCAATAAGTTTTGAGTTGTATGTAATAATGCATATTAAAATTTTGAAGTGTTTTAGAATATAAATTTCCAAAATATGAATGGATTATTAGGTAAGTTGTTTAAAAACCCATAAAAACAAAATATAATTATAAAAAACAAAATTTCAGTTTCTGAAATTTTGAGATTTAAACTTTAACTTTTTACATCAGCATGACATGGTTTTACTTTTAAACTGACTGCATAAAACTTAAGAAGACATTTGATATCTATGTGAACATTTTTAGCAAAGATGAAAATGCTCTTGTGTTCTAAGTGTTTTTATTCAGGCTTAATAAATAGGCTACTCAAAGGAAAACAATACCTTTATTAAAACTTCCAAGTGATTACACTGAATGTTGATTACAAAGAGTAAAAATTCGCATTCAGCTCAAAATATTGCTGGCTAATAGTCCAGTACACAAAGAAAAATTTTGAAATTTCACCTCCAAAATCAAAGTTGCTAGAACATTAATCGCCGTAAAATATAATGCAATCCCAGCAATAGCTTATTTATTGTTGACTGGGAAAAACTTGTAATTTTAAATATATTTTATTATTTTGTTTTCCTAATTTCTGTAAAAATTTTGCATTAAGTTTGAACCTTGCACAGGATTAGACTAATAAAAATCCTGAAAAAACATAAAATGAATAATAAATAAAGGTAATATTTATTTTTAACATTTGCAACACATATAAAACTCTAGATCTTTATATATATTTACAGTCATCCTCATTGAAACAATTGCACTTTCAGCTTAGCCCTCTTTATTTAATCTTAATTGTTTTCTGATCTTGTTGAAGAACTCAAATGCTTGCAAAATGTTTTTGAGAATAGTACTTCTATACTAGCTCTCAGAACTGCATCAAAAGAGTTCAGCTGCATTCTGTTTCATGCTTTCATTTAAAATTGATATAAAAGGTTTACACCTTCTATATTTTTACTTTTTCTCAGACAACTACACGTGAATATGCTCATTTAGAAATATGTAATTCTAAATATACAGTCAAAAGTCATTAATTCGGACACCCATAATCCGGAATGATCTATAATCAGAACCTCAAAGCTAAAAACTTTCTGCGTATGCGCCACGTTGACACATGCTCATAGGCGTTTATGCGTGAACGTAAGACCTCTTACGACTGCGCATTTGCGTGTGCACAAGCGCAGAATACGTTTTCGCGTGCGGGTTTTATGTATAACGAACGGTATAAGCTAAAATTATCTAATTATCTATTTCAGTTAATGTTGATGATTGCGTTGTTCCTTAATTTTCGAATTGGATCCGGCTTATTATTTTTTACAGACTGTAAGAGCAATTTTATAAAAGTAAACTTGAACTTTCGATTATGTCAAATAGAATTTCCGATGCTGGAGCTACCAAAGGATCTACAAAACGAAAGTATGATTCGATGGCCATCAAACAAAATGTGGAATTGCTGCAAAAAAATGGATAAAGACATGAAGAAGGTGACAGAAAGGTTAGTGAAAACGAAAAAATTTCGATTGACAAGTTAGTCGGTATTCTCGGCACAGCAATTACGGGACTTTGAACAGCGGAACTTTGTAACTGAACAAGAAATTATGTCTGTTTATAGAATTAAAGAAAAAGTATTATCACGTAAAAAGAAGCAACTTAAATAACTTACATTGAAAGAAATGTTTAATAAAGTAAACAAATAAATATTAAGCTTTTTTTTTTTTTTGTAAATTTTGATACCCTTTAGATCATAATTGTTCTTTATTTCATAAATTACGGTTTCATATTTTTAATTTTAGAATTTATGCATGCCATCTTACGAGATTTAAACTGATGATCTATAATCTGGAAAAATCGATAATCCGGAATCGCCGAAGTCCCGACGAGTCCGGATTAACGACTTTTGACTGTATTAGTAAGTAATATTTTATAGATAATCTTAAGTAAGGAGTTTTAAATGACCCATTTTGGAGAGTTTCATAGAATCTCTGAAACAGTGCTGTATTACCAAATCTAATTTGATATGTGGATTTTTAATTTCCTATTTGCATCGATTTAGTAGTTAATTTATTTTTAAAATTATGAAACTCTCAATGAGTAACAGAATTTTCACTCTCTATATATTGCTTTATTTCCAATAATTTTGTTGCGTTATAAAAAACGCTTCCTCAGTTTTTCAACAAAATTTCAATTTGTACTTGCTTTTAATAATTCTTGGGATGGAGAATGCAGTTGATTTTGCATTCTTAATAAGAAAGCTATTAAGTAATAAATAACAGCTGAATTGCAATGGATGAAGCAAAAATAAACAAACAAAAAAAAAGTACAGTTTTTAGTCACCAAAGGCAATTTGTTTCTCATTTGTACCACATTTTTTTTGAGGGGGGAAGTCATCAGCTGACATCATGCATTCTAATATCAAGCACATTTACTATAATTCTAAATGTATCAGTTCATGAGACTAATTAAGTATGAGAAGATTATTCTTTTTGTTGCGACTACGTGGTCACTGATGTTTCTTTAAATAATAAGTACAAATAAACAAGAAGAAATTAATAATATATTAGGAAAACAGGCACAATAACAGTACATGCACTGTAGTAATGGCTGGAAATTACTCAAAGAATTTGAGTATTTAGCCATTCCTCCTTAATACATGAAATAAATCATTAAGTTTCTCAAATCACTCTTAGGGTAAACTCTAATTCATAATTCAGCTAGCCACTAACAGCTAAACTCCATAGTCTCCCATCTGTGTTTAAGTGCTGCAGCATGGAATCTGGAAACTTCTAGAAAAGTCAGTTGAGGGTTTCAAAAAAGTGTTTTTGTGAATCTTCCAGAAAGTCATCAAGTGGCGAGAAATTTCCAAAGCTTCTTAGGAACAAAATTGCATTTATTTCACCTTTGTGGTGTATAATCAATTGAATGGTATAGTATAACATAATTCATCTGACCGTAAAGTGCACTAATCACAATACTTAGAATATAATATTCATATCACTGACAGTAAGCATGTCACTATTGAAAATGTTAAAGTGTGAATATGTTCAACATCAGTAACATTTCTCAACCAATCAGTGTAAAAATACATTCAATAACAATTTGTGCATTGTGAGAACAATATAAACGTAGTAAAATTAGAGTATAATGGTCCAGTACCACAAATTAATTAAAATTAAAAATAATACGCTTCCAAACAGTCATTTTTATCTCGATGTAAATAAATATCTTCAGCTTAGCAGGGTGTTTTCTGCATTGTCTCTTGGGGTGTAAGCCCCAAGGTTCGTCTGTCTCACAGGTCAGCCATAAAGGTGATAGAAGTAGGTAGCATGTGTTTTTCAAATCAGACCGCCGCTGCACACACCATGCTGTATAGTAGACGCGACTATTTCTTTTCTTCTTCGCAGCTCTATGAACTCAGAATTCTGAGAATCTGAATGCCATTGAACTCAGAATTGAAAGATTTAGAGTTGTATGCAATAAATAAATACTTAAATGCAGCACATGTGGCCAGAAATTAAATTAAATGCGAAATAACCATTCTAAAAGCAATAAAATAAGTAAATCAGTAAAAAATACTGCAGCAATATAGAAAACCAAAAATGCAATCGAAAAGGATTAAAATATATCACAAATATTTATAACAGTATAACAGTTGAAGGTTTCATGAAGAAGAAAATACACCCCGGGTTTAAAACCCCAGCAAACAGGTTAGCTGTGTGGTAGTTTTCATGGTTTTTCCAAATCTGTGACATAAATAAAAGCCGGTACCTTTTAAAATGCCATCCATGAAGGAATCCCTCTTTTTATATAGATAGCCTTTGTATGCTTTGCTGTAATCCAGGTAAGCAACAAACCAAAGGAGTAGATGGCTCAGTCAGCAGAAATTTTATCAGTGATTGGGACTACCTTGCAAAGGTACAATCACCAAATCGTCTCTAACAGCTAACTTGTTCCCCATATTTACTTTTGAAATCTGCTAAAGATTTTAAACAAATAAATAAATACATTTTCTAAATGTGATATAATAAAATAATTTACATAAATAAATAGGTGATATCAGAATTAGAGTGCATCTTATACTTTAGGTAATGAATAATTTCAAAGCACTTTATTGTCATTTATTGTGAATGCATATAAACTGATAACTTTTGGTTTTATTTGTCACTTGAGACTTTACTCTTAAATTATATGAGATATACTGCATTGTCTTTTGACTTATCCAGTGCAGTCAAAATGATGTGATGTTGAAGTTCCACCTCTAATCATGATAGAAGGCCATCCTAAACGAACTGCTGATAGATACATCAAGTTGTTACAGCATTTAATTCATCTTCGCTGGTAGCAAAGCCATGTGTTTTCTCCTCCATCTTTTTTTATGCTTTTGGCCAGATTACCTCATGAGCTATCAGATAATGACATAGCAATGTCTGACAAAACCCCGCTGATTTCAACCAATTGTATGTGGAGTTCTTCTACAGGATTGATTTTGAACTCATGCCAATATTCCAGATGGCAGTTTTTCTTTTAGCAGGGTTTTACATCTCAAGATGATGCAAGATGGCATCATGTTTCAACAATGATGCAGAGGATTAAGGTATAATGCCGTTGTTGTTTTTTCCTGTGCTTGTATCATAATTGTATCTCTATCTTCTTGGTTGACTGTAGTGTCGCTTAGCGTATCAAAAAGAGCAGTTTCGTCAGCAATTTTGTCCTATTTCCCTTTATGTGGTAGCCATGTCTACACTGGTGTGCAAAAATTAAGGACGAAGTCGAAAAATTAGCATATCAGCTGAACGAAGAGGGAGAGCGGACA